GATAGATAGATAGATAGATAGATAGATAGATAGATAGATAGATAGATAAAGAATGGTAGATAGATTTATAGAGTGGTAGATAGATTGATAGAGTGGTAGACATATTGATAGAACAGTAAATAGATTGATAAAACGATAGATGGATTGAGAAAATGATAGAGAGAGAGAGAGATAAAATGAGAGATAGATTGATAAAACAATAAATGAATTGAGAAAATGATAGATAGATAGATAAAATGAAAGATACTGTAGAACGGTAGATAGAATGATAAAATGATAGATGGATTGATAAAACAATAGATGGATTGATAAAACAATAGATGGATTGATAAAACTGATCAAATGAGATAGATCTATGGATAGAACAATAGAACTGTAGATGACAGAATGATGGATAAAATTATGGATTGGTGGATAAATAGAATGATAGATAGATGGATAGATAGAATGATTGATAAATCAATGGATATATAGATAGATGGAAAGAATAGATTGGTGGACAGACAGACATAACAATAGATGGATAGAAAAAATGGTAGATAGAAAGATGATGATGGCTGAATGGATGATAGATGTATAGAACGATGCATGGATGGATAGTAAATATAACGCTAAAATAGAAACACAAATGAGAAGGAAAATGAATGCAATTTAAGTAATTTTTAGGATAAATACCTGTAAAAATGTGTTCATTCATCTATTGAAATTGTAAGTCTATAATTCTTTATCGCTCTCTTCTTTGTAGAGATGAGCAGAGCTTCCTGTGCACATTGTCAGTATGGATATTTCTCAGATTCCCTATCAACAGAAGCCTGCAAGAAATGGACAGAGTGAGTATGCCTCTTATCTAAGCTTAAAAAGTCAATACAATAACAACTCCATAGGTTTAACAACAGCTGGGAGTGTGTGCCACAAACATGCCTGTCTTCTGAGTCACACACACAACTGTTCTTTAACCGGACTCATTTGCAAAGTCACAGCTCTCATTCTCACAGGCGTTGTTTGTCTGGGGAAGGTCTCAGGCATGCCTGATCATTTTTTTAAAGCCCCCGCAGTCTTACCACACTGTGGTATTATGATTAATTTCTCCACCACTTCCCCTAGAAAGAGACCCTTTTCTTTTTGCTCTTTGTATTTGCGGTTCCTCTTAAAAGAGAAAATTGGGACTGATCAAACCCGAAGTGACCAGACTGTTGGGCTGCCCTCTGTTGATATGCCTAATTCTATTCCAGTTGTATTGCTTACAATATTTCCAAAGCATATTCACTGTATTGATATATCTAATTCTCTTCCAGTTGTAAAGCTATCGGCAAGACCGAGAAACAGCCAGGAACCTCTAAATCAGATGTGATGTGTGGAGTCCATTCTCCTGGTAGGTTATTACAAAGTTTTTCTATTTGTTGAATTGAATTTACCTTCACAGAGTGGTGTGATGAATAACCCTCCTCATCCTCCTCAGTTATGACACCCTGGGTGGTGGTGGCCATCCTCTCGGTCATCATCGTGGTATCGCTGGTTGTTCTCTTCTTGTTTTGCTGCAAGGATAAGCTGAACTTCCTCTCAGGTAAATTTAGTTCAGGGTCATGTTTGTTTGCTACAGTTTGTGGTAGATTCTTGTCTATGTTGTTGATTAAAGCTTATTTTCTGACACCACAGTAAATCTACGCACCTGCGTCCAAAACCTGAAAGGAAGTAGGAATCAGCAGGTAAGTAAGAATATCTTAAAACTGTAATGATAACTATATTAGCATCCACAACAACGGACTATAACATTCTGTTTATTTTAAGCACACACAGAAGTAGCATTGTCTGTTATTTTAAATGCACACCCTTTTTCAAGCAGAATAGATTTTGATTGGCTGTCACTGTTTTTATCAGTTATCAGCTGGAAAAAAAATATTCTGAAAGTGATTCCAACAATATCGTTCCTTTGTTTTGTTATTGTTTTAGTTGTGGTGTGGACTTCCCTATTATCATAAAATTATGATTGCCAACCATCATAATGTCTTCAAAAGCCGTCCTATTTATTTTATTTTAAATCATTGTTTTATAAAACCGTTATTTTATACATTTGTTATTTTATAAAACAGTCATGAATTAATATTTTTCAGCTAAAAGCCTATTTGATCAGCAACTTCTTATTAATGTGTGAATGTTAAAATAAATTAAGTTTTGAATGTTACCATTACTAATTACAATTACTAAATTGATCCTTTTTTAAATAAAAATAAAAAATTTAGAATTTTTTTAGAAAAAACTATAATGCAAAGTATATAATTTTTCAATATTGATGAGAAATTTTATTTCAGTTCATCATTGTATGAAATTTATAGAAATATATCATCTTATATTATAATCTTTATATATATATATATACACACACACACACACATATATATATATATATATATATATGAATGTGTATATATATAATATACAGTATATAATATAAAACAAATTTTTTTATTTTATTTTTTATTTTTTTACTTGCATAAACATTCACTATTAGATGAAGAAAGATTAAATATTAAATTAAAAGATTAAAGATGATAACTTGTTCATGCTGCAGTGATTCATCAATAGTGTATATATTTATGTTTCTCTAGAAAATGCAGTGCCAAAAGTGTGTCAGATATGAGAAAAGGATATATTTTACAAAAAAGTTTTTGGCACTAATATATCTTCATATATAATTTTACAAAAAGTATTTTTGACACCTATGGTACTCTGAGTCTCAATAAATGTGCATTTTAAGGGTTGTAAAGCATTTGCTAAGTTTCATTCCATGACTAAAATATGTGTATTTTTAGAAATGTTTATGTATCTCTTCTGGGTCAGAATGGACCTGAATGCATTATGAGGGCTAAAACCTAGTTTTCGTACTACAGGCCCATACTGATCTTACTTTCTTTTAGGAAACTATGACGAATGTGTATATATATAATATACAGTATATAATATAAAACAAATTTTTTTATTTTATTTTTTATTTTTTTACTTGCATAAACATTCACTATTAGATGAAGAAAGATATTAAATATTAAATTAAAAGATTAAAGATGATAACTTGTTCATGCTGCAGTGATTCATCAATAGTGTATATATTTATGTTTCTCTAGAAAATGCAGTGCCAAAAGTGTGTCAGATATGAGAAAAGGATATATTTTACAAAAAAGTTTTTGGCACTAATATATCTTCATATATAATTTTACAAAAAGTATTTTTGACACCTATGGTACTCTGAGTCTCAATAAATGTGCATTTTAAGGGTTGTAAAGCATTTGCTAAGTTTCATTCCATGACTAAAATATGTGTATTTTTAGAAATGTTTATGTATCTCTTCTGGGTCAGAATGGACCTGAATGCATTATGAGGGCTAAAACCTAGTTTTCGTACTACAGGCCCATACTGATCTTACTTTCTTTTAGGAAACTATGACTTCATACCACGGTGGTAACGGTCCACAAACCCTTCCTCTGATTTGCCAAGAACGAACCCCCCCAGAGTCCCTGATCACGTGTCCCAGCACCCAATTAACCATTCTTGATGAAACATCGACTTGCACGGACCAAGAACAAGACCAAGACCGAGCTGAAACCTCGTCAGGCAGCTCCAGCGAGGACTCCGGAGGTGGGTCTGCATCTCCTCTGTCGGCCAGCTCCTGCCGCTGTGCGCTTTCCATGAAGGAGCCCATAGAGGTCGGAGAGAACGAGGACTGCAGTCAGCTGGTGGCCACGGGTTTGGCGACATGCTGCTCCTGCAGGCCAGGAGATGCCATCGCAGATAACGTGCAGGTCGTCGGCCTGAAAGAGCCTCTGCTGTGTGAGAGCTGCTCGTCGGACGTCCTGCTGGATCTGCAGCACTCCCAGGAACTCTATCTGGACTACAGCAGCCCTGCTGGCAAAGAAGCCATGTCAGAGATGAGAGGCGTCCAAGGAGACGAAGGGTTGTATATGCAGAACGAACCTTGTTGCTGCAGCATAGACTCCACCACCGTTCCTCCTCTGCCGTCAGTCAGCGCTAATGACCAGGGCCTTTCGCTGATCCACAACGATGACCACAAACTGTCCGACCCCGACGCGGACTTCCAGAACCAGTGCTCAGAATCAGCTCTCACATCTGGTAAGACATTAACACATGTGAAAATAGTGACAAAACAAATGAAAAGCTGTCTGTGCATCTGATGTATTTGAAGCTGTTGCTTCATAGTGCAGTACACGTGAATCTGTTAAACTCTTTAGCACATGTGTTTGTGTCAGATTTACAGGCACTGTCGTGCGATTCTATTCCAATTGCACAAATACAGTATGATATGATGAAAGATGGGAAATGATCAGCAACCTCAGTAATAGCAGGTCAAAAGTGCACAGTGAGATCCTTCCCGTCTTTGATCATGAAACAGATGGCCAAGCTAACAAACTAGTAGCACGCCGTTGTATCGGCTGATGTGTTGCACTGGTTTTCTGGCCATATATCCCGTTTCGACATTGATGGATCCCTGTGTAAACTTTTAAAGGTGCTAAAATACAACCCTTATAAAATGTGATTCTTTCTTTACTAATAGTTTTAGCTACTATTAATGAATTACTTTATAAATAATATAATTCATTGCAAATTATTGTGTGTACCTGTGTATATATACTGTATATTAGGGCTGTCAAACGATTAATCATGATTAATCGCATCCAAAATAAAAGTTTTTGTTTACATAATATATGTATGTCTACTGTGTATATTTATCATGTATATATAAATACAAACACATGCATGTATATATTTAAGAAAAAATATATATATTTATATATAATATAAAATATAAGAATATGAATATATAAATGTATAAACGTAAATATTTTCAAAATATATACTGTATGCGTGTATATTTATATATATTTATAGTTTATAGATGTGATTAATCACGATTAATCATTTGACAGCACTTATATATATATATATCTTATATAACCTATATGCACTCTATAAACTATATATTTATAAATTAATGTATTTATATGGGGATAGGATGCAAGTATACATATATATATATATACACACACACACACATTTATATATATATATATATATATATATGTGTGTGTGTGTGTGTGTGTGTGTGTGTGTGTATGTATGTATGTATGTATGTATAAATAAATAATATAATATATAAATGTATTACAAATGTATGTAATCTAATATAACCTATAATAATTGTATTTATATTGGGGAAAGGATGCAAGGACGCATTGAATTGTTGGAAAATGACAGGAAAGACATTAAAATGTTACAAAAGATTTGTATTTTAAACAAATGTTGTTCTTTTGAACTTTCAATTAATCAAAGAATCATGTATCCACAAAAATAGTAAGCAGTATAATTGTTTTCAATATTAATAATAAGATGTGTTTCTTGAGCACCAAATCAGCATATTAGAATGATTTCTGAAGACTGAATGTGACACTGAAGACTGGAGTAATGATGTTGAAAATTCAGCTTTGCGTCACAGGAATAAATTGCATTTGAAAACATATTTAAATAGAAAACAGTTATTTTAAATTGCAATAATATTTCACAGTATTACTGGTGAGCATAACAGACTTCTTTTAAAAACAAGTTTTGAACAGTAATGCATATCTTTTAAATAATTTATCATTAATATTTAGATCATTTATAATCATAAGTATTGACAAAATAAATCCTTACATTTCAATAATACATTACTTAACAGTGTCTTTGTTACTCGTATTCCATCCTATTGTTATTCATTCCATCTTCGCAGAGGAGTTACACAGTATTTCATTACACATGTAGTTCATTAGTGTTCTTCAGTAATATCTTGTAAATGTAAATACAGCGTAACCTGAACACTAAAATAAAGTGTCATGTCTTGTAGTAATAATTAGAACAAGCACATTCAGGTCATGTGCATTCCAGTAAGTCGTTTTTGTGAAAATATGGCAGGCAGCCACAGGAAAGAGTGGGTGTAGGGTCCTTTATGGACCAGCAGCAAAATGACTAAAAGATGTGTGAAACATGAGTCATTGACAGTCTGTGTGTATATTCAGAGAAAAAATAGGAACCATACAATCTGCTCATGTTGAATTTTTAAGTGGAAGGAAGCAGTTTTGTTGCTCAAGAGGGGTCGACACAAAAACAGCTTTTTGCCAATTCAGTGCTGACGGAGAATTATTAGCTTCCAGTTTGTAATGTAGACTATTTATGTGAACCACTAACATCTAAAGTAGTAGCGTAGTGTATTCACGTGTTTCAGCAAGACTACAAACAAGTTTGCCTTGTACGAATGGAAAATACACATCTGGTTGCATTAATATGTATAATGTTAGTCTTCCAGGGTTGTTATTAGCTAAGACTAAAACCCATATAATATTACATTATATATATATATATATATATATATATATATATATATATATATATA